CAGGCGCTTTGCCGCTGAGCTAAATCCCCAGCCCCTTTTTTCTATACAACTTTTAAAAGCTCTCAGGTGATTGTAATGTACCAATAGGTCTGGGAATCACAGATCTAAGGAAAGCACCTTACAGGTATCCCCTTGGCATTAGTGGCAGAATGTTCTCCACCCTGGTCCCATGCCCACTGGAGTGAACCACAGTACAGTTTGAGGAGGATACAGGATGTAGCCCCTGAGAGTCAAGGGATTATACTGACAGCAGTCTGTCAGCAAAATTTCTCATTTGTCTGTCTGCTTTTTAGTTTTCAGTATGACAGCTATCCTTGAAAAACTCTAGTGCCACTTCTTCAAAAGGCCTCTTGAACCCTCTAGCTAAGGCCAAGATCTCCACTCTGTCCCTGACTTGACACAGCCACAACCCTGCAGCTATGGATGTGCTTTCTGTCTCCTCTACAAGACCACAGCTTGTGTAGTACAGGGTTGGGTCGGGTTTCCACTATGCTCTTCAACCCCTGCTCAGTGCTCCTGAGTGCTCTCAAAGAACTGCCCTTCCTGCCATTCCAAAGCAACTTGGGGGCAGTGTTAGAATCCATGGAAATCTCCTTACTGTAGAATCACTATAGAACATTTTTATAACCTCTTAGATGTTCAAGCCAGTACCTTATTCTACAACTGCCCCACTTGGGGTGCCAGACAATGACTTGACAAGAGGAGTGAGCAGGGGGAGCCAACTACCCCTCCAGGGAGGAGGATGCTAACACTGAAATTGTACAGAATCACCACCTCCTGGTAATAACATGAGGCAGACCGACTTCTAGCTGGTTTTATTATTGTTCTTTAATTCTCTGCAGACAATGCATTCTCTAATTGCCTGCCTGGAGTGGACCACCCCACTGGCGGCTCTTGGCACTCACTGGAGCCCAGAGAACGGGGCTACTGTCTGACTTTGTTCTGGAGTGACAAGTACTGAAAGAAAGAACGTCAAGACATTTCATGATGAACTAACACTCTCCATGTGTCTTATTCCCAGCAGCTTTATTCTGACTAATGTGCTAGATATTTATGCCACTACTAGGAAATGCAAATGTGAGAATTTTTTTTTTTTTTTTTTTTTGTATTTTACTACACAAGTAATGTAATGATGTATGTGATTGTCAGGTCAAAGGTGCATTTTTTGACCTACACTGTTCTAAGAAAACTGCATTTTTTGCATAATAGAAACAAAATTTTACCAAAATTGCAAGGGGATTTGCCCATTTTGCTGACAGTCATGTATCCATTTTCACATGTCTAGCATTTAAATAAATATTAGCTTGTGAGTAACTTAGGCTAACTGCCTCTCTACTTCAAAGACTTCTGCCTTGTATTCACCTCTTTGCCTGTGAATCAACACTTCTTGTATTTTGATTCTTACACACAGCCAACTCCAGCTGGCCTTCAAAGAATTCATTTCTTCCTTCAAGCCAAAGTCTTGGTGCCAGGTACATATTCAAGCAAGATCAGCACTCTTTCTCCTCTAGAGAACCCTGTAGAATAGGTGATTCATTCTAGAAACAGATCCATTTGCCTGCTCCAGAGAAGTACCATGTTTCCAGCTCAACTGAAAGGTTAACATCGTTGCCGTGTAAGTGGAAAGATAAGGAGCCTTCAGAGTTACACCTCCCTGTGATGAATGGGAGTTTGTGCCCATGTCACTGTGATTTCAGGCTTTCTTTTGAAAACAAGAAAAGGTTTGGCCTGGAATCAGAGCACGGGGACTGGGAGGGGGTGCTGGAGAGGTTCCAGACTCTTTCAATACTATAGCAGATGTAGCTCATGTCAGCCCACACATGTAGTGTCCTTGTCAGAGTTGGG